GCCTCTTTAAAATAATTCTGTCTCCCTAAACTTAATATAAATCCCTCTTAACCCTGTATTTCAATCTTTGTCATCAGTGCATTAACCCAAGTTCTCGTCTGTCCTGGTGACTTAGAACATTTACTCGTCAGGATTCTGTTCTCAGCATGGCTCTTTTTGTTTTATTCCCATTAATGGCAAATAGCTTTTATCACTCCTTCCTCCTGTAGATTAAGTTTCCTTACTTTATATTTCAAAATTCTCACTATGGTCACTAGGACTTCACTGATCCTCTTTGTGTTTCCTAAAACTTAGTCTTCCTACTTGTGGTATTGGTTTATAATGAGAAATATATATTTGGTCTTTGATCAATTCCCTGCTAAGATTTTCTAAAACCCTTGGAGTTTCCTAACTTATGAGAGTGATAAATGTGTCTTTTTTATGTTAAGGGGCTAAGTTTTGGAATGCTCATAGATAACCTAGGATTAGGGGTTGGTTGCTAGGAGATCCAACTATGTGATTAGAAGGTTGACCTTTTAGTCCCATCCCTCAACTTCCAAGGAAGGCAGGGGGGCTGAATATTAAGTTCAATCATCAATGACCAATGACTTAATCAATCATTCCCATGTAATGAAGCCTCCACAAAAACCCAAAGGAATTAGTGTGTAGCACGTCAGTGTTGGTGAACACATGGAGATTGGCGAAGAAGCCTGCTCTCCTTCCCACACGCCTTACCCTATATATCTCTTCCATCTGGCTGACTGCTCTCTACAGGTAGATAGTGTCAGGATTGAGCTGAGATGTAGGACACACAGCTTGTGTACAAGAATTGCTTGGTGGTGTAGGAAAAACACACATTGGAATGAGTACCAGAAGCATCCTTATTGGTCCCATAACTAAAAACCCAATGGAGAGGCCTTCTATCTCCTTCTATAACCCTCCCTTATAAGTTTTTTTCAAGGCCTTATTATGTAAAGAGGAGCTCCTTCTCACCACTTATCATTTGTACGTCAATATTTAGAGAGTGCCCAATGTATTTGCAAAGTATTGATTAGAAATCTGTAATTACTGATGGAGAGGTGGGAAAAGAAAGTGAAAGATTTGTTGCATGCCCTTGACTTGCACACAAGTTTTGTACAAAAATTAGGACACAGACTAATATGATACAAGATGGAAAGGGACAAATGTCACTAGCCTCCAAAACCATCTTTGGTGAAATTATATCTCCAGTAGAAAATTGTTTAATCAGAAGGAAAAAAAAATCACCTCAACTCTTCAATGCTCAGGTACCTGGCCTGGCTATGTCTTCACATACTAACAGGTTAATGTAGTCCTGGCCTGAGCCTGTGGGTCCTGAGTTCTGAGCTCAGAAGATTCTAATCAGGGAAGTTGCCTAATATGCTGTCTTTCCTTTGTACTAACTGATGATGATTCTCTCATACTGATGATGCAAAACTCTTCTCTTCTACATAACTTGAAGTATATTTTCCTGAATATTATTTATTTTACCTCTTGGAATAAGATTTGATCCTCTTCATGATGCCCTAACCATTATAATGCTCTGAATGACAACTAAATTGTATGGTAAAATTATTGGAATAATAGGAATCATCAGTTGTCACAAAAGTGATTGTGATCCAGATTCAGCAGGAAAAGCTGCTCCTCTTAAGAACTAAGTAAGGTGGATCCACCTCCCCCCCAATTCCTACACTTTTAAGGACTCTCTTCACTACATTATTTTGAGGAGATAACACTCTTATCTTTATTTCTGACTCCAAGTTTTTGCTTATGCTAAATTATTTCAGTCTGAAAATGGTCTTGTCATTTTATATGCTCGGTATCTGGCTCATGCAGATAGGGTGCACTGCCTTATTAATTTTCTTATGGAAAATATGTGAGACAGTAGGAGACTTTATTAAAATTTTGGGAAGGAATGGAACTTACGTTTAAGTTAAGCCTCATCTCCCCCGACCAAAAAGAAAGTCAAAAGTTTATTGTTAGACATTTATGATGGGCAAAGTGGATAGGAATAAAGCTCTAGCATCAAAGTGCCTGGGGTGGAATTGTGGCTTTACTGTAATGTGAATCACTATGTGGCCTTGGGAGAGTTACTGCGAGTCTCAGAGCTTCACTTTCTTCATGAGTAAAATGGTGATAATAGCACCTACTTCACAGGATTTTCTGAGGGGGATTTTTTCCATTAATTCATATCAATTGCTTAAAACAACTTAACACACAGCAAGTTCTCAATAACTATTACCAGTTAATTAAAAGATATTTAAAGGCCTTCGACCATTTCCAAACTCATAATTGTATGATGTGGTCTTTGTGCCTTCCTCTCTTCTCAGCATCTTCCTCTTCACTCTTCTATAAAATTCTTACTTTTATTTTTATTTTTTTGTGATTCCTATTTTTATTTTATTATGTTGTTTAATACAGAGTAGTTTCACCATCACTTTTGTGGCCTTAGCTATATATGACTAATAGCCTTGGGAGTTACTGCTCCAAGTGGCTTATTGAGGCATTTTCGTAAACTAGGACAAATTCCTCTCTAAAAGGGATTATGAAAGCTAGTGACTTTACATACAAGTATGTATAATACATGTTTGCCAGCATAATACATAAATCAGTAGCTTTCAGAATTCCATACATAGTTGCGTGCATATAGAATATTCTTAATTTATAGACTATATTTTGATCCAATTTTACTGCGCACCTTTAAAGGTGGTACTCTAATGTGTTATCACACTTTATGAGAGATTGACTTTTGCTCAAGGTCACTTGCTAAGTAAATGCAGACAGGGATTTTAACTAGACTCTGACTGCTCCCCAAAGCCCAAGCTCCTACCACACCTACTAGTTATTTGTGTGGTCTCAATTCTCACAACAATCTCAAGAGACTGACACTGTCGTTATCCCTTTTTACATTTAAGGAAAATGAGGCTTAGAATGGTTAAATATGTTTTTCAGGATCATGCAGTTAATAATGTCAGAGCCAAAATCAGACCATCTGCCTTTTGCAGATCTATTTTTAACAATTATGCTATGCCCTGGCAGATGGCTCAGTGAGCTGGAGTGTTGTCCTGTCCTCCAAAAGGTTGCAGGTTTGATTCCTGGTCAGGGCACATACCTAGGTTGCAGGTTCAATCCCTGGTTGGGCACATATGGGAGGCAACCAATTGATGTTTTTCTTTCACATTGATGTTTCTCTGTCTCTCTCACCCTTCCTCTCTCTCTAAAACCAATAAAACCTATTTCTGCGCGAGGATTAAAAAAAAACAAACCAATTATGCTATTTTAACTCCCACCCCAAAATAAAGGGGATCAGATAGACAAAGTGGATAAATATATAGTTAGGATGATTAATTATTTGCTATAATACAAGCAGTGAAGAGCCACTGTTAAAAAAAAAAAATCCCCTGTAGAAATTCTACAGAATCCATTGGAATGCTAGCAATTTAGTCAAACTTAGTTTATGGAATATTGATTTAAAAAAGCATTTGCCTCATAGCATTAGCCTTCCTGTTGGTTTATAAGATGCAAATGAAATGTTAATGTTAAAACCAAGTGGGAGAAAGTACTTAGTTTGAGAGGAAAAATACAAGAGCTGTACTCTAGAATATTGTTATTGTAATGTAAGGAGAACCAGGAGGACAAGACAGGCAAGCTTTTGAAAAAAAAAATGCAGCTGAAAATGGAACGTAATAATGTCAAGCATGAAAAGATAAAAAAAAATATCAAAGATCATTGTGTGTGTGCATGTGTGTTTATTAAGCTTCTCCTGACGCAAATTCCTCTCGCCCCCAACTAGCTGGTGACTCCAAGCCTTTGATGAAAGCGTAGTATGTGAGAATCACTAGTTGGCATTCTCTGCGGGAGAGTAACCTCACAGAGGGGTGACCCTGTGATACACGAAAGGCTATTTAATGTCCCGGCGAAGTGGTTCTGGGGCCAGTATTTTATTAAGCTTCTGGGATGAGACTTGTGATCCCGTATCCTTGATTTAGAGCCACTTAGGGCTCTGACAGCTCCACCCCCGTGTTCTAGAGGAAAATATTCCTTCATGCTCTGCCTGATCTGAAAGCGACGCGGCTTCCAATGTTCCGCCTGGGAGGTGGTTCAATCTTTAGAAATTACCCGAGAATCCTGTCCATCTGCAAGGGTGCTTGGCTTTCTGAAACGGACAAGGAGGAGCTCGGCTTTTAATCTGAATAACTTGAGGATTTTCTGTTTGTAACTTAAAATCGCCGCTTAATTCAAAATAAAGGAGACACACACTCTAGCTTTGTAGACATTGGGAAAATCCGCGTGACGAAGTATGGTTTAGAAATTCCTGATTTAGTTTCCCCCCGGTTAAGAGTACATATATAATATTTGATACCGGGCAGTCCACTCATGTCACTTGCCTTTTTTAAAAAGGTGTGTGCGAGACGCGGGTGAGAGGTGAGAGAAAGGAGGAGGAATCAGCTCCGTTCGTAGGTTGTCCCCAGCCAACCGCAGCTTGTTAACTCCTAGAAGACCAGTTTCCACCTTTGCCGCCTCCTCCAGCCCCTTCCTTCCTCCTTCGCTCCGCCCTTGGACCCTCAGTCTGTGAATTCCCCAAGCCTACAAGTAAGGAGGTTGCAATACCGCCGCCGAAAAGTCCCCGAGGAGTGAGTCAAAAGAATTGGAGTTCTGGGGAAAAGAAAAGGGTAATTTGGTTTTCTGAACCGCGACAGGGCTGGGTGAGCAGGGTGAACAGAGAGAGGTTTTATTACCCGGGTAACGCCACCGGGAAGCGTCCAAGTCCTAGGGGCTCCCCCGGAGCGTGGGGCTTCTGTGTCTGCTTCCTATTGGCGGGCCTCCCAGAGGAGGGCGGAGCCAAGAACCCCCGCCCTTTCGGGCGCGCGCTGCTGGGCGAGGTTCCAGATCCCGGCTTAGTCTTCGCCTTGGTCCTGCAGCGCCTCTAGGCTGCAGATCTGCGTTCCAACCACCTGCTCGGAGCTGCGTCCGGGGAAGCCAGGGGGGAGAGGAGAGGGAAGGAGGAGTCGGAGGGAGGAGGAAAGAGGCGGCTTACACACGCCTCCCAGTCTCCCCACTCAGAGCAGCTCAGAGTGCTGCTACCGCCGCTGCTATACCTGCTGCTGCTCTTGCTGCCACAACTGCTGCCCCACCTGAGGAGACCGCCTGGACCCGCCGCCCCCTGTTGCCATCTCAGGCTATTCCTTCCTAGCACCGGCTTTTTACGCGCACTGCCACTATCATCATCATTATTATCCCAAGAGAAGGGAATTAACAGACCAGCCAAAAAAGAACCACGTACACCTTTCCGAATTGCTCAAGTGTCTCCCGGAAAGAGAGAGAGGGTCGCCGGTCCCCGGAGAAGCAGCCAAGGGGCCAAGGGCTAGTGTTGTAGGGAGAAGGAGCTCGGGCACTGCGTGGTGGAAAGTTACGTGCGGCGGAGACCCGAGGGTGCAGCGCCACAGCCCAGGGGGGCGGTGTGTCTGGGAGAAGCCGCTGCCCGCTGCGTCCCGACAAGTGCGCGGGCAGCACGGGGTAGTAGGGAACGACGCTTCCTCCTACGTCGCGGACTCTCTCGGTGGCTTCGGAGGAGGAGGAGGAATATGGCATCGAAGGCGGCCCCCTCATGCCGTTTGGTCTTCTGCCTCTTGATCTCCGCTGCTGTCCTCAGGCCAGGTGAGCAGGGGCCCCGGAGCAGCCCGCGGCCGACCTGGGCCGGAGGAGGCTTCCTTAGGTCCCCGGCCTTGCGCCGCCAGGCAGTGCGCCCAGGCTCGTGGGGGAAGTAAAGAGACGGCTGTGCGGGCGCAGAGCTGGCGTTGGGTTCAGTCACCTGTGCCACACGCCTGGGCTTGGCCGGTTGACTCAAGTTAGCGCAGAGATGGGGGCACTGGGTAAATCTCCAGGAACTTTGGGTGAGGCCGGGGTCAGGGCTTCCGGGGCCCGAGGGCAGGATTGGCCAGTCTCCTCTTACCTCTTGTGGCTACCGCCTAGGCGGCGAGCTGTTGCCCACTGACAATTCAGTCACTGATTTCAAAGTCCACGTCATTTCGCTCTGGGCAGTTTTCCTTTCGCTTAGCTCGTGGAAGCAATAACTGGACGCACTTTTTTCGTGATAAAACCCCTGGCAACTTTCCCTTGATATGAGGCGAAGAGGTGATGGAAGAGGTAGAAGATAAAAAGGACTTTAATCGTTCCCTTAAATTCTTCCTAAAGCTTAAATTGTGGCTTGGACCCGTCCTCCCCCATTTTCTGGGTGGGCAGTGAGTTTAGGAGTGATTGTAGGCAAAGAACCCAGCCAGGTTTGTGAGACCTTACGATAGGGTTTGTAAATTTTTCAGCGCCCATGATTCACCCTCAGATCTCAGTTCTGTTCTGAGCCTCAGAAAAGTAATGCAAAACCCCCAACAAGCAAAGTATTTCGCTGGGAATCCCTTTACTCGCCGTAGTGCTCTGTCCTCTGCGAAGCACGGCGGCTGACACGAGTTGGTCCCAATAGCGCATTCTCCGTGCTTCCCTTCACTTGACAGAGCAGCAGGTTTATTTCCTCGCTAGACTTCAGGATTTTTTGGACTTTTCCCCCCATGTGAAGTTTTGGTTGCTAGCCCTGCCCTTCATAGACAGTTGCAAGTATAACTCCTACTTCCTGTTATTTCGGGTTTTGTTTATTCTACTCCTTTCTTTAGGGTTTTCTTTTTTAATCAAAGAAAAACTTTCTTTTTGCATCTTTAATTTCTGCACATCCTTTCCGTTGTTAGCAAGTTGAGGCCAAAGAGTAGGTCTGAAAGCCTCTGGTTCTCCCCCAGGAAAGGGGGGAAAGTGGGGCTGGGGCTAGAGCCTGAAGATCCTGCGTGTTTGTGAACTGCAGCTGTGTATGTTTGTGTGGTTGGTGGAGGTGCCGGGGAGGGGGGTGCTCTCACGATCTCTTTCTGAAAGTTACAGTTCTGAGTGAAAGGGAAAGAGCTCACCTGCTGTTCTGAGGTTGGAGAAACAGTGATCTGTGACACATCTCCGGGTCTGGGGCGGGGACTGTGAAAGGCGAGCTGAGCCAGGTTTAAAGCAGGTGGGGTGGGATAGGAACACCGGGGATGCGGGGAGGAGAGGCCCCCTGGGTTTGGCACAGTGTGGATTTCTCCTTTTCCTGATCCCAGTGTCGCTGTGGGAAGGAAGGGCACTCACTCTGAAGCCAGGAGGCGAGAAGAGCGGACGAGGGTGATGAGTTTGTAAAATGCGAAGATCCACACGCCCACAGTTGGCTTTCAGTTTAACCGTCTCGCCGCTTTGAGGGAGTATCTCACCTAGAGCCCCACCCTGAGAGCACACGCCAGTTTCCTTTCCAGTGCTCTCGCACTGGTATTTCCTTTCAGTGGGGTCACCTCAGAGGACAGGTTTTTCTGCACATTTAGTTGCTCAAAGGGGAGAGGTTCCGCTTTCAGATCCTCCTCCTGTCGATTCCTGCGGCGCACCGGCTGGTATGTCGCCTCCGTACCCGTTTCTTCTCACTTTGGGCGAGCGTCAGGCGGGGCTCCCCCAGGGCTCAGAAGCCTCAGCCCCTCAGATCAGCGGTTTCCTTGAATTTATGGGGCTGACATAAGCGCGAAACTGTCAGTCAGTGTGTTTCAGAAATGATTGAGGCATTAAAAGCGCCATGTCCTGACCCTGGATGCAAGTCCTGGGCTGCAAGTGAGCCTCTTCCGGGCCCTCTCCACAGCTGAGCCCGGTGAGGACGCAGGGCCAATGGGTGGTTTAGTCAAAGGGGCCGAGTGACTTCCCAGCGTGCCGCTGTTTATTCCCCCAACAGCTGTAATAGTGTGTGTCGAGACCTACAGAGCAAAAATTCGAGTTCATGAACCTGTTCCTGCAAGTCTTTTGGTCTGTAGTCACTACGTAGTTATTGCTATATTCTAGGCATGGCACGGTGTTACCTGTTTTGAAGGGAAGGGAAAATGTATATGAACCACGAAAACTGAATTCGGAGTTATAAAGGCAATAAAGTATGTGGGAGTCATCCTAGAGAGAATAGAATCTAATTATTATAGAAAGAGCGTCAGCCTGTGGTGACATTTTGTATTGCTTATAAAAAGGCTTTCCTTGATTATTTACAACAAGGAGGTGGAGCTCCGCAGTTAACTGTTTCTTCACTTGGGCCACCTGTGTGCACGCCTCTGTGGAATTTTTCTTAAATGCTTACTGATATAAGGTTAATTCCAAGACAGAAACACACTTAAAGGGTTTGTTTTGTTTTGTCCTAGTGGTATATTATGTTGGGAAGGTATCAGTGTATCTCAGTAAGGCCTTGGGAAAAGCATCAACTCAAATCAAATAATGTCCTTGCAGACGATTAATGTGGGACTCTTAAAATTTATTATTTTAAAAACTGAAAGCTGCTTAGTGGCCAGTAAATATTGTTTTTTCCTTGATGGTTTATTTAATCCAATAAAAATTACAATTTATTACACTAATATTTTCAGTAAATTGCTTTTCTAGGTTTGGCTCACCTTTTTGGGCTTCAGCTTTCCCATGTGTAAGTATAAGGTTGGGCTAAGGATATACTCTGAGATATCTTCAGCTCAAAACTCTTGTTTCTGACTAAGGGAAAAGGCTGATTAGGGCAAAGCAGGGTCATTTTCCTGTGTTTTTCTAATTCTTTCAGACAGTCTGCATGGACATATTCGTATATATCTTTTATTACTAGAAAATGTTAGTGTACCCCACTTGCTAATTTTTCATCTTTTTTCTACTTTTGTAAACTCATTTTAATGTCTTGTGCTTACTCCTTTAGGCCAGAATAGGGCTATTAAAAAAAAAAGTGTCTTGAGACATTACTCTCCCACTCTCCTCGGTAAAGAGACCCAGGAAAAGGTTTTTAGATCTAAAACAAAACAAAACAAAACAATACAAAACAAAACACCACCAGTAAGAGTAACCCATCCTATCTGGAAGTAACAGTTGATGCTAATATGTCCATGTAACAAAGCCTTAATATGTACACCTGCAAAAAGCTTCTAAACAAAGAAGTGGATTTAGCCCATGGTCCTGAGTACAATATAGAAGGAAATAAAAAATACTAATGCTTTCTTCATGTTTTCAGTTTTATACAAATCGAAAATATTTTAAGACTAACAAAAGTTGTGATATGCCAAACTTTTTCTGACTTTTTGGAAAATTCAAACTATCATATCATTTTTAATAGAAATGTAGAAGAGAATGCTTGTCTACTGTTGACTTATTTCTAAAAAAAAATAATTAAAAACCTACCTTAATAGTTGCAGGTGTTACCAGAAAAATCTATCTATTGGGGTCAGTACTTATGTGCTCCGTTTTTAGCTATACCATATAAGAATGTTGTGACCTTGGGAAAGTTATTTTTCTGCTCCTTTTAATTTCCAATCTTTAAAATTTTCTCTTTATGTAATGCATGTTTCTGATTAGTAATTCCTTTGCTCAGTCAGCATTTTGAACTTTTCAAATACAGTATGCTATATTAAGACTTTCATTATACTTTTAATAGAGTAACACTCTTTATTTCTCCTAGTCATCACTTGACCATTTTATTAAAAGCAGGACAAATATTTCTTTTCTTTTTTTCTTCAACTTATTCTTTTACTTCCCAAATTTTCATGTCATTAAACATAGGCTTTTGTAAAATTGAGCACAAAGCTATCAGCATTATCTGGTGTAAGATGGCAGCATTTTGTCATGTAGTATTTTAAATGCTTTACAATCACTTTGTCTTGTATTCTCAAACACACACCTGTTTTTGTTCTGGCCATTTTTGTGTGTGTGTGTAGAACATCATCAAAGAGTTCTGGCTGTCTGAGGCCATTAACTCAAGTAGGCTCATGCAATATAGATTCCAAATATGCAGGAGAGCAACATAGGTGCAGCTAAGACAAAAGAGTATCTCTGTGCCTCTGTGAATGTGTATGAGCTTAAATTCAACTCTTTCCAAAGTGTTATTTTATTCTTTATTGTTAGGCTTTCACAAAGGACCATTTCATTTCTTTTTAATTTAAATTAAATTTATTAGGGTGACATAGGTTAATAAAAGTCTATAGGTTTCAAGTATACAATTCTGTAATATATCATCTGTGTATTTCATTGTGTGTTTACCACCCAAAGTCAAATCTCCTTTTGTCACCATATATATGACTCCTTCATTTCATTTCTTACACATATTAGGAAATGAGCTAACTCATTGGAATACTGAAGAAAGTTTTCTTTGAAGTAGTAGATGATGAATTAATATTTGTTTTATTTTTACTTTTGGATATCAGTTGTTTAAAAAATTTCAATAGGAAATGAAAAAGACCAGAAAAATGCCCATTTATACCTTTTACTATTTTTTTTTAAATTAGGTCAGAATTTTCTCTTCCCTGTGGAGATCAAAGTCAAGACTAAAATATATTCTCTATACTTAAGAAGAGAATTATAGGCTATTTGATAAGGTTAAATGCAGTTATTATAAGTATTCCTATAGCGTACAAAGTATTATATATTTGAAATTACTGATATTTTCATCCAGCTAATTTCTGTTTAAATAACAAAATTTATATTCTCTCCCTTCCACCTTATTATTAAATGAAATACTATATATATTTCAACAAGGACTTGTTCTAAATGTGCTGTGGTATTCAGTAATTGTTTTATGGTACCCTATTATCATAATCCATTATCGT